AAGTTTGGGAGACACCCCTGCAGATTCAGGTGCAACCCAGGAAAACATATTTTTAGTGGAATATCCTGTTAGGCTCGTCCATTTTGGGTTCCATATTCATCCGCACTCCGCTGCTAGGCTGAGTGACACACCCATCTGCAGCCTCCTTTGACCCCACGGATTTGCTCTCAAAGGCCTCGCTATGGGTCATTCTCCACAACAGCAAAGCGAAGCGCTCACTTGAGGATAGTTTACAAGGGAACCACGTCGTTCTGTTTTGGCCCGTTTGCCAAGACCCTGGGGGGGGGAACTGAAGGCAGCACTGGGGGTCCAGCATAGCGACCTTTGACAGCTTTCACTATGAAGCATCATGAATGGAAGCTGGGGGTCAACATCAGGAATGTGTTTCCAAGACGGTGTCAACCTAGCCTCTGATGAGACTCATCTGCGAGCACCTACACTCAACCACCCAGATCTTGGAACCATAAATGCCGGTCGCAGTTGATGCCCTGCAACAGTACGTAGAAGGGGCGAAGCCCGAGCCTTGACAAACAATCAGTCTTGCAGTCCGAACGGCCAATAGCTGAACATAACTTCACCTTGCGTTTGCCGCAAGCTTAGAGCATGGCATCAGTATAGAATATGTTTATGTCACAGTACCTGCCAGGGAGATATTAAACCAGTAACATGCAGATTTCTTAGGTGAGCTCGCTATTCTTGCAGAGTAGTGAGAACCAAGCAACTGCCCAAACAAACCCACTCTCGCTCTGAATCTCCTTCACCTCCCCAGTGACACGAACAGAGCTGCCCAGCGAGAGAGTCGGTACCTCCTGTGGACAGGCTTTTGGTTGGCTGGTTGCCAAGATCGATCGTTGGCCGCAGATGCAGCACGGACCCGCTGTTGCCTTGCTTGAGGGTCAACCGGGGTCAATTGTTGGGGGGTCAAGTGATGAGAACATATCACGCGCGGAAACAGGAGGAGAAGAAACAGGGGAGCAATCGATCCAGATACAAACACTGCATGTGCACAAAACAACTTATTCGATTTCACCTTGAGCAACCCTAACTGAGCTCCTGCCATCAGTGCCCTGCACGGACTTCGTCAATCTTTCCACTTGTGCGTCTGCAAATGCTTGTTTCTTCACTAACATGACAAGGAACCCCACTGCGACTCATGACCAACACAACGCATTTCGCTTGATAAGAACAAGGATAATTGAATGCGAGCTGTCAAAACACAACACAGGAGGAAACCTGGTTGGTCGCTTCTTAGGCATGCGGTCCCCCAAAAACGTGGACCAGGGGTTCAAATTGAGCAAAGGTCTTCTTCCGCCTTCAGCAGGCAAGGCCGCGCCGGAGGCAGCTGAAGCGGATCCATGGCTAAAATAGACTTGTATCCGCTTTGGGGCCGCTTTAAAGGGAAACCTAAGGAAAACTAAAGGGAAACCAAAGCAAAACCACCTGTCTTGGGGGTTCTGTAAAAAGACAAGCCCGAATAGTTGGCCTGGGGTTGCGGGGGACTTTTGAAATCCAAATTAAGTCATACTCATTAGAGAATAATAATGCCAGTATTTGCCTAGCCATGTCTGTAGCCCTCTCTTCTTGAGTCGATTTGAAAAGGGACGCCAGGTGAGTCACAATCAACAATCGACCAGTGTTTGAAGGGGGCGATCCAAAAGCCATGTAAAGAATCAACAGGCCAGCATCTGCACCAACTTCTAGTTGGAACTGTCCCCTGCTAATCCTCACTGCTCAGGGCTTGGATTGTGGCTCAGGTGGCCATGGGCGAGATATGGACTTGCCCCCTTCGTGCTTTGGTGTTGTTTGAGTGCCTCCGGGAAAGTGTACAAAGCCTTTCTCAACACACCTTCAAGGGACAAACAAGCTGCTTGTGCCGCAGGTGCTTGAGGCACTGTTAGCGTTCCGCACATTAATGCCAACTCGCGTACGGTCGGCCTGCTTCGCAAACGCAAAGACGTGCAATGGGACTCCAGTTTCAACCCCCGCTCAAGCTGTTGTGTGACTTCAACAGCTCATTGCATCGGCTTTGATCTTGACCACAAATGGCAGCATTATGCAATGCACATCAATCACGGATTGGCAAACACCATTGAGCGTGAACATGCAGAGGTGCGGTGCCGCTTGAACATTCCATGGGCCCCAGGAACCGTCTCACAACCTGCCGGCTCTGCCCAGGGAGACTCCTGCGCGGGCTGGTGTTCAGCAGGCTGACGCCCGAACTTGCTCCCCTTGCGGCCAACATGCGGTCAGCATCGCAAGGATTCAACCCCACTTAAAACAGAAGACCAATCGTGAGACAACGGGGACGTCCTGTGAGGCCTTGATTTTCTTGATCACCCCGGGTACTAAAAGCGAAAAAGGCTGCATGTGTCTACAAGGACCTGCATTCAGCAGAGCATAGACAGGCGCGCTACCTGCGCAGGATCTATTAGTAAGCTAGAGCTGCGATGACGCCTTTACATAGATACCTCCTTCCGCCAAAACTGTGGCTTGTTGCATAAGCTGCGTCAAACAGGTTGAATATAGTTCGAGATTGCTATTTATGTTTTACGCATGTCATGGCATGTGTGTGTGTGTGTGTCTTCTTGTTCACTTTGGTGCAAAGAATCGACCAAACCATGGAGCATACCCCCAAAGAGGGAAAACAACTATTTGGGCAGGAAAACAAAAGAAGATCCTGACTGAAGTAGAAGTTTCGAGGGCTCAAGTGCACTACCAACACGTCACTCGTCACTACCAGTCATAGCTCCTCAATTGAACAAGGCAACCAAGCCCATCTCTGAAGCTCTCTCTGCTTGGCAGCATGCAACAAGCTATGCCATGCAGGTCGGTCAGGACTCAGACCCGACGTGAACAAACAACCTGCTGTAGCAAAAGGATCTTGCCGATCTCGAAAAGACCTTCAGCCAAAGATAATCTCTTAAGCTTGTGCTCGGGATCTCCAACATAATTTGACAGAATGGTATGATGTATGATGCATATGATGTGTAGTGTGGGCATAGGCAAATTGGACACCAAACGGCAACCTTGCAACACCCTGAAACATGACACCCTCCAGATCGTCATTCGGACTACGCAAGCATGAACATAGGCATCTCCCGCCTTGAGATCGTCTGCCAGGACGAGAAGTAACGGCGTGGAGGGCTCGGTGTCATCTGAGTGGTAGCGAGGTCAAGCTCCGATCTTTGATTTTAACTTAGCATTGTTTATCGAATCTGTGAGCAAACAACAGCCCCATGCCTGAGCGGTACAACTCTTGCTGGCTGACATAGACCAAAAGGTCTGGCAGGATTGGTACTAGGACAAAACAAGCACAATCCCCGCAGCCGGCAGCACAACCTTAAACAGCCGATAGTAACTGACAGTCTTGCCACCTGCATATCTTTCAACACATCCCATCAAACATGCTTTGCATTCCCAACCCATGCCGCGGCAAAAGCTGGTTTGACTGCCAGTGAGCCACGCAGAACAAGGGCGTGCGGAACTCTCTGCATGCCAGCCGTTTTGGGCAGTGCTATTGTGGCCACAACGGAAGATCGCTGCCGAAGGGGCATGAGGAACTACAGTGGCAGGGAAGCTGGTTGCTTCACATATCAAACAAAACCCGATGGCGATAGCATCCTCAGTTGGCTCACATTTTGCAAGCACAACGTCGACAACAATTAAACATCAATGAAACAGGTGGTGGTCCACTGCCTCACTCACTCTTTCAGCCTTGCTGCAACCCGAAAGTCCTGCAAAGCAAAATGCATGTTTGAGATTGAGCAAACGCGGAGCGGATGACAATGGAAGCAACGTTCGTCAAACACGTCCTTACTGACCAGCTCAAAGGCACAGAGCCCGCCTAACATGGACCAAACGGATTGGAAAACCAAAAAGTGTAAAGGTCGATTCGCTTTGGGCAAGTGACCCACAGAGGCGAGCTTCCATAGGACCCCCTCATCCTTCTGCGGGAACCCCCGAAGTCCAACCGAGTCGCAGAGCTGCGCCAGCGCGCGGATGGGCTGAGCGCGCAGGAGGCCTTGGCCGCGTGGCCAGTCGGCCAGCAGAGCCTCGTACCTGCGGGTCGGTCGCCGTGCATTCAATTGGTGTGATGCGGTTGTCTTGGCATGAAGCTGAACATTGCTACGGCCGATTAATTGAAATCGGGGCTACTCAAAATTAAGGATTGGCCAAACCTAATTATGTGTCCTTCTTGTGAAATCACTACAAACAGGTCCCTTTCGCAACCAAAAGAAAGGCTCTTGCAAACTGCTTTCAGACGGCCCCATAGACTCCAGTCCATCCATCGTCCCCCCGTGCCAGCGATAGAGGCCAGTTTACCATCACACCCTGAACAAACATCCAGGATCCGTGCTTTTAAAAACAGCTGTCCAAAGAAGCTGGTCGCCCGGACCAACAGGTCCAACGGAACCTCCCAAGAGCCCAAGCCACTCGCCAGCCCAACCTCCCACCGGGCGGAGCGCCTCGCGGCCAAGAGGCGCTGCACGTCCCCCAGCGCCACATCCCGCGAGGCAAGCACCGCCCAGGCGCCGGCGCGCCGCGCGGCCACCTGTCACTCGTGAGGGAGGCAGCGTTAGGGACAGGACTCGGTTCAACAGACATCGAATTTGACATCAAGCAGAAAAACCCAACACGTTCCCAGAAATTGATGGTACGTGCTTGTTTAACTGCAAATTACTGGATTTCTTCTCCGATGTGTTTTGCCCGGGCTAGCTGAGGAGATCATGGTGGATTTCCAACATACTGCAAGTGAAACAACCAGACAGTGCAGTAACATAAATTGAAGCCGAGTCTAACCGTCTCACGTCTTGTAACAGCTCGACTTCCACTGTGTAGCAACAATCCACAGGTGCACCACATCCAAGTGCGAGAGCAGTGCTACAAGCCGTGCTTTTGAAAAGTGCAGCCCGCGGCACCATACGAGAACCCTCCCGAATCACAAACTTGGACGACCATGCGCCTTCCACATGAACCCAGCATCTTTTCAAGTTTGCATTTTGTCTCAAGGTCCCCCCAGCCCATCCGAAACTGGAAAGAGGTGCAGTGCTGTGAAGATATCAAATAGGGGCCTTACCCCTGAGGAATGCACTCCCAGCAATTGTGGAAAGCGAATGTTTGCTGTCTGTATGATTTATCAGACTGTGCACACTCCAAATGCTTCAAAATATCACTATGCGGACTCCAAAATCAGATACCCAAAAAGGAGCCCTCTGTAAATGGATGCGACTGGAAGTGATTCAAGTTCCATATTGGGTTCTTGAGATACCCAGTGCACTGTCTATGACAGTCTAAAACTCCATTGCACTCGCCTGCGTTTCAAGTACAAACCATGCAACAACTCCTCTCAACACTGCCCGTTCCGCGAACATGCGTGTTTGAACCAAAACTCAGTGAACCTTGGCAAGTGAGAATCCTTCAAGAAAGCAGCACACGACCAACGAAGTCAGCAAAACAAAATCTAAACCAAACTCTTGCCTCTTCATCATCGCACTGGCCCCGTATGCCGGAGCCCTCACCTTTGCAGCAAGATCAGATCAGCCACAATGTTCATTGTGACTCCGATGACTGATTGCTTGGTTTGTGTGGAGTAACCCCATTCCCTAATGAACAGTTGGTGAGTGTGCCCAAAGTTGTGTCCCTTATCACAAAGACTACGAATCAAATGGACAGTTGTTCAAATCATGAACAGTTGGTGGCAGCAGCCCTGGCTACTGGTTTGGTGATTCTGATTGAATGCCTCGTTGGCTTGGTTGCTGATAGGAATTGGGGTTGTTGTGAAGGAGGCGGGACCCACACCACAATCCACCAAAAGTCACATCACCCGACTGACCGATCAACCCTGCTTCTGGCTTCAGTATGACCAATGCAGCCATGGAACGCACAACTACGGGGGCGTGGCTCTAAATTTCAGCCTTTTGGCACTTGGCCCAGGCACCCTAGGCTTTGGACATGGACTTGGATCTCTTCATGCCGAACTTCTCAACGAGTTCTTGCAAGCCAATACCCCAAATTACCAGTAGAGATTCCTCGGGCTCACAAACAGAGCAGTCCCCGTGGGTGGGTCCCCATGAGCTCGCCGTTTCCAAATAGACAAGCAGCACTGGTACCACGCGAAAGCGGCACGGGACACCTCTGGAACGAGACAGTCCTGGCGAGGCGGAGTCGAACTTGGAGATTTCTATCTGGGTATGCGTTCAACGGACCAGGGACCACCCAAAATGGATCTCGGTTTTCCTTTTGGATTCCCTTTAAGACACCCCGAAAAGGGTGCCCTCAAAAATCCCATCCATCCATCTGCTTCACACCAGTTTTATGTGGAGGAAAGTGGCAACAACCACAGCATCGCCGCTGGACAAGAGCCAACGGGAAAAAAAACTTACCAACATCACCAGCATCAGCTGCTCATCCAAAGTAGGTCCAAAAACAGCAACTATCGGGTACACATCCAGCATCCGGGCAAACGCGCTGTCATCGTCGAACCTAGTCAGAGGGCGAGCTGATTTGTCACTGTGTTGATGATTGTCCATATCGGAAGCGGTGCTAGCCATTTCCTGAACCTACGACCCAATGGCAACTTGTTCGGACCCTTGTCGAAGATGCTGAAGGAACAAAACGGGATCTTGACTTGAGCTGATTTGTAAATCGGGAACCTTAACCAGCCTGGTGACCTGGTTTGGGGTATCAGGTCCAAGGCGCAACGCAAAGGTCTCGGGGGAGCTGCTGGACTGGTAAGAAACACGGAAGCAAGCCTTGGTGAAACCAGGGGGTCCCATCTGAGGGATGTCCATGCATTAGGGTGTTTCCTACGAACTAGGAGTCGCTCCCCTCATGGCGAGCTTGTGTTTATGCCCCCTTGAAGCAAGCCAACGGCGTTTGCCTAACTTGGGGCACACCCAATTCATGCCATGGAAAACACATCTGGTTCAACCTGGAATCAGAGACCCAAAGAAGGGAACCTTCATCACGGGTGAGCCCGTAAACCAACCCCCTCCACGATTTTCGCGATTGGATTTGTCATGCTCATGCATGAACTGGCAAAACAATCATTGACACACATGACCAATCTCCTTCTGGTGCTGGAACCCTCTCTCTTTGGGTTCCTTCTTCTCATTTGTAGCAGCCCGGACCCCCCCTCCGGATTCCACGTCAATTTGTGGAGCGAATTCTTGCGGCCTCGTTCGGCAGCCCACCCCCGCCCCCGCCGCCATCGCCTGCGCGGCGAGCTGGGCCCTTTGGCGCAGCAGCCCGCGCCAGCTGCGCTGCTGGGACCAGCTGGGCAGCAGATCCTATCGTTCACGACCTGTTTTAGACGTATGAGGCATTCTGGGCTGTCCTCAGATCCCCTCCTAAAAGTTTCTTAACTTTTGGGGGGTATAGTGGCAACTACCACAAAACCCTAAAAAACTAAAAAGCTAAGGGGATGGCTGGGAGCCACCAAGTATTTAGCTGTTCTGTTGTTGTCATTGTTCTTTTCCCTTCGTCCGTGATTGTTTTGTGTTTTTGCGTTGTTTGATTTGATTGACGAACAGTAGCAGGAGTTCCGTCTTAAAGGGAGTTGTGGTGAGCACTGCTACGCTCAACAAAACGAAGGACCGGTAAACAGCGCGTCAGCTTGGCGCTCCCCTGAGTTGGGGCTGACTGTGCAACCAGTAGCCTCGAAGAATGACGTCTTCCTTCAGAGGGCAGCGGGAGCAACCACTCGGTTTCTCAGCTTTCCCGCCCAAAGAACTATGCTGACACTTACAATTTCAGGCCATGTGAGGTCCAATCTCCTCTCCGCCAACTCTTTGCTCCAGGTGGTGCTAAGAAACTCACCAGCCCGTGGTACACCTAGGCTTTGTAAGCTTGGCTCCCAACAAGACACATCCTCTTTGGATGGCTGTCAAAGGAAATCAGCAGAAATCATACAAGGGCTACCGCTATGTCAGGACGCACCTAAACATTCAGCACCGTGAAAAGGAACATGGCTTTGCTAGCCGCACTTTGAAGAGCGCCAGAGACCTTTCCACAATGTGAATGCTGAAGGAGCACAGTGAGTGTCTGGCCCCGCCATGTTACACATTCAAAATCACTCCCAAGTCGTTGGTTCCAAGAGCAAGACTGATTTGTATCTACTCGCGCGAGACATGCAAAAGATTGAGCCTAGCTTCCAATTTCCCACAGTGCCTCTTTGGGGGTATACATATTGCAAGCGCAGCAACCCATGCAACCACAACACCCTGGTATCCAACCACGAAACCCATATAATGTGCGGTAAGTCACAAGAGCTTCCTTGTTGCCCTACTTGCCATCTTAATGATCTTATTCTTCTTGTTCAAACACTTCTTCTTATACTTATTCGTCTTCTGTTTTGTCTTCTGCTTCTTCTTCCTCCTATGCAATATTCTTCAATCTTTTGGAGTATTGTTCCTTTTGCCGCAATCATATTCAGTGGTAGGCAATAGTGTGCAATATCTAGGGCATCCACCGTATCAGGAAATAGGCTCCATACTGGTCATGCTGCTTCCCATCTCCTGGCGGATCAGGCTGAGACTCGTCATCCAGGCGATGCCGGAGAAGGACTCCGTGCGCATGACCACCTGAATGCAACCCGGGAGGGGTGCGTAAGGGTGTGATGCTCAACTCGATGTTGACCGCGTGCGCAGGTAGATCATTTACATGGGGTCTCAATCTATATCCTCCAAACGTTTTGAAGGCTGTTCCCGGATTGGCATCAATGTGTACCCCTAGGCCGAAAAGCTGGCCTCAGCAGGCCTTGTGTATTCTCAAGGAGTGAGCTAAGTAACCGTAAACCCACCCTAAGTAAACGTAAACCCACCCTGGACCCCACCCCTCCCACCCCACCCCCGCAACAGGCTCCCCAAGGGTTTTCCGAATGTGGCTAAGCGGTCCGGCAAGGCATTGCCTTTGGATCCGGTGCATGCATCACAAAAAAAGAAGGGCTGATGCACACGTGCCATGGCCAAGACAGAATTGCAAAACCAAACGACCTTGGGGTTGGGAGCTTCTTTTGCTTTGTTTCTGTTCTGTTCTTTGCTGGTGCTTTTGTGTTGCTTTTGCATTGCTGTTGTCACGCCGTTTTTTGTGCCAGTACTTTCTTCTTGCTTTGTTTGTGCTTTGCTTAATTGTCTTGAAGCCTTTATTCCCTAGCTGACGTGTTGTACACAATCCTAGAGGAGTGATTACAGCAATTGTCCTTCGTCGGGAATTTTGGCAGGTGCTCAGTTCCAGCCCAACACGCCCAGCATATGATGTTCATTTCGGGTGGAGTGATGACAATCTATGCCGCAAAGCGCAACATGAGCGCCCCCGAAGATTGGGTGTCACCCCTGTTTAGTGTAGAGAAAATCGGATGAAGCCCGAATGTCGGAACTGGACTGACATAGTGGTAGATAAAGTTGTAAGCCGCTCACGTGGCGAAATCAGGGATCCTATTTAAATTTGGAACCCTGGTGTGCCTTTTACCAAAGGGGATTGCCGAAACAAGTCACCGTGTTGTCGACTCCCTGCATGTGCCTATACTCCCCCCAATTAGCATGTTATTTCTGATTTTCATCAAATGGTCTCCAATTAAAACTCATGCAGCCAGGCCACTGACAGGTCGCTAGAGTACGGCGCGATGCCGTTGTCATTCCAGGCCTTATGCCCCAAGTAGCGGTTTTTGGTCGTGTTATACTCGTGATGGGGCCAGGTCGAGCTTGGCAACCGCATATTGTGACTGTCGCTTACTCACATTGAATTGGCCACCAGGGTGTCACTTTTGTTTCAGGGTTAAGTCTACCTTGGGGCCAGGTACTTGGGTCAACATGACGACCCCGGGGTTGACCAGCCACGCCTTGTTTGACAACTTGTCACTTGTATCCATGCCAACGTTCACAAGAATCCAACTGCCTGTGGTGATGCTGCGTCCAAAATATAGGAAATACATCATCACACACAAACAGGCACCTTCATGCTACCGAGCACAGGCCTTCGATTCTAGGTGAACTTTCAAACTGAAGAGGCATGCAGATCTAGCCTGTCCCGCCCGCTTGAAGGGAGCTTGCAGTGAACTCTGGGGCCTCTCCACCGATTTGCGCCAGTTGAAGGGTGACGTGGTTGACCAGCCATGACACCTGTGAAAAGAAATCTCATGAATGTCTCAATTCAAAAACTGCCGACTCCCCCAACGCAAAAATATACTATCTCATGTGTACCCAGCCTTCCCGTCTCCACTTACCAGTCCTGGGGTCAATAAACCGACAGCGGCACCGTCTTGTCAGACAAGCTGCGCTGATGCACCAAATGCTAGGATCCTGCATGGGCCACATGTCAATTTGCGTGCGGAATGATGTGTTTCTCAGATTGTTTGCCCGAGCGTTCATATTCAAACAACTTGTCCGAAACACAGACAGCATGCCTCAGATTATTCCTTTGGAGAGTGTGTATGTGCACATGAGTCAGCCTCTGTCAGTCCTACTGTTGTACTATGACTGACTTTGAATATCATAACACAAGCGTGTCATGTCTGCGTCTTAGCTGGAATAGAGGGCACGGCAATTCAAGGACCCGGCTGCAACTCTTGCAGTTGTTGAACGCACAGCGTGCTTACGAAGTGTCGTGCAAACCAATGTGCATGATGCCAACAATGCAAACAACGCTCACAAAGTCCGGTTTGTGAAGCCAAAAGCCAACCCCGGACTGAGTTGGCCAATTCAAGTCGCAGTTGCCGGTTTGCAGCCCCGATTGAGTTGAGACATGGGGGCGCGGGGGTCTCACATGCAGGATGCAGTCAGGAAGCATCCATGCGCCCTAATTGTTCAGTTGCGACTTTCAGGATCAGGATTTTTTTCTAATATCATTGTTTACGGGAATCCTATTTAATATTTCAACCCTTGCTTTGATAGCATAGGGCGCAAGTACTCACCTAGATGGAGCAAACCTGGTTTTGCGCGAGCTCGCACAAGATGTTCACTGGTTGCAAATTCTTCAAGGTTCTGAATACAAGATAATACAAGTGTGCTCCAGTGATGCAGAACCAAGAAGTACTGCGAATGCAAACTTTTATGACATTGACAGTTTTTGCACTTGTCCAACTTTCTCACTTCCTGAGTGGATTGGCCAACAAAGGAAACACTTGCTTGTCAATACAATGATCTTCCAGCAAAACGTCAAGTCCAAGAATTTGGGGAGAGAGCTTTTCGTGACAGGATCCAAACTATCTGAAGCCCAAGACCTCTCGCGGTATGCACAGGCCTCATCAGGGTCTTTATGATACGCCAAAGAATCATCAACAATGGGAAGTTGGAGCTGGGCCATATCCACAACATGGGCGGATTCCAATGTTTCCTCTTAATCATCCCTAATTAAGGATAGCCTAGGATTAAAACCCCAAGTTGCTAAGTACAAGTAACTAGGGGCTATGCCATCTTGGAGGGGAACCTTCACTTTTGGAGGGGACACCCTTTACAATCCCCCAAGGCAAAACTGGGGTTAACATTAAAGGGCCATTTTGCAGCACAACCACCTAAATGCAGGTTCAAAGGTGCACGGTTCTCCCGGTCCCTGTCCTCTAAGAGTAGGGGCTCAAGCTTCAACAGGAAGCTCCGGAGGCTCGAGGAGAAGACCAAATCCTCCTGCGCTTGTGGGGAAAGTTTCTGTAGTCTGTCATAAGCCTATCCTGGAGGTCACGTCACAGCTCGATGATGACGGTACGAACCCGCAACCTCAAACATCACCCCATAGGAGACCTGTGCTCTCAATCAGCACATGCGCGGCTCCTCCACGACGAGAAGGGAGCGAAAGCGGTCATTGCGGAACTGATTGCTCACAGCCTCAGTGCAACAGACTCGGACGAGTGTTGACTAACCTTAACGCTCCTGCGAAAGCAATTCATGGGTTGGGTGAATTCTGTTGTTCAGCTAGCCAACATCTCCTTCTCTCAAGCAAGGATCCTTTGTAGCAGGAGAGGTCGCTTGTCCTCTGGGGAGATGGCTACGATTCACACAACACCTTGAGTGGTTAAGTGTTTGAGCAATGACTGCTACTGCAGGGCGCCAGACTGCTATTGCACTCCATTCAGGGAAACCACGCATCTTTACTTTCTAAACTGCTAAACTTCTAAACATCTCCATCAGCCTGCCCAGGGTCTTCTGCTCAGCTTCTTTCGACAGATTCGACTGGAAATCCTTTTTGATTGTCAGTAATCGCCAGGACTTTAACAGTTGTGCGTTGATGTCTGATTTTGGCGTGAATGAACACTTCTGGGAACCTAACTTCCGAATTGTTGACTTCATGTTGTTCAAAGAAATGAGTGGTTCAATCACAGAAAACGGCCCTTAATCTTATGACGTGCGCGGTGTACCTCGCTTGTGCGGGCTGCTTCAGCAACAAGTTTGTGCCACAAAAGCGTAAAAGCGTCGTCATCAGAGATGGTGCATGCAGCAGGTTCACTAAAGAGTCCGCTTTGCGCTTTTTGGCACGCAGAAGCAAGACGCAACATCCAGCCGTGCGGTCATGTTGGCACCAATCAATGCCACCCCTGTGACAGGCGTCCAGAGCCTTGGCGTGTGTCAAATTCAACCAGCGCGATCCCTTTGCTTAACAGTCTGTTTAACGAAGGCCGCCAAAAGCCAACCAAAAGCCGCCTGTCATCCCATTTCGGCGCGTCACATACTCCAACGACCGGCCATAGTGAAGCCATGGCTCCGCCTCGGAAAGTGGTTGGCGAGGCAATGTGGAGGAAAGGGATTCTGCTTGGTTTGCAAAGGGAGCCAACAGGAAGCAAATCTTGTTTGGGACCACTGTTCCAAGTGGGCGTCCCTTCATCTGGGCCACCCTGTTGGATGCTCAAGAGGAATCCAGAAGGAAGCTGTTGCTGTTTGGGGTCTCAGCTTGTTTTGAAATGGGGGGGCGGAACGAACTTGAGGGTCCCATTGCAGTAGGACACACTTGGCAAACAGCAGCTCAAGGAACGTTTAACGGGGTTCCCTGTCTGAAAATTGATCAAACATCAGCTCTCTGGGCAGACTTAGACCTACTGCACAAGTTAATTTGTTGCTGGTTGAAAGGAAAACTGAAGAAAACAACAAATAGGAAAACGTTGAAAAGGTAAGCTATGTCTGGCAATGCCGTAGGCTATGCTGTGGGCACAGAGTCGCGCAGGTTGCCTGACAAAGCCCTAGACTTGCCCCAGGCCGGAGGTCTTGACTTGTGCCGAAATTGCCACTGTGTCCCAGTTGTGAGACATTCATGGGTTGACAAGCATCCACAGTAGACGCCTAAGAAGTTGTCTTTTCACGCCATCCTGTGTGGATTCATGGGTGTAAACCCCTTTCACTGGACTTCTATGTTCCCCAAACGGCCACGTGTCCCAATTGAATATATATATATATATATAAGTAGTAGTAGTAGTAGTAGTAGTAGTAGTAGTAGTAGTAGTAGTAGTAGTAGTAGTAGTAGTGGTGGTGGTGGTGGTGGTGGTGGTGGTGGTGGTGGTGGTGGTGGTGGTGGTGGTGGTGGTGGTGGTAGTAGGAGTACTACTAGCAGTAGTAGTAGTTGTAGTAGTAGTAGTAGTAGTAGCAGCAGTAGTAGTAGTAGCAGTAGTAGTAGTAGCAGTAGTAGTAGCAGCAGCAGTTGTAGTGGTAGTGGTAGTAGTAGTAGTAGGAGTACTACTAGCAGTAGTAGTAGTAGTAGTTGTAGTAGTAGTAGAAGCAGCAGTAGTAGTAGCAGTAGTAGTAGTAGTAGCAGCAGTAGTAGTAGCAGCAGCAGCAGTAGTGGTAGTGGTAGTAGTAGTAGTAGTAGTAGGAGTAGCAGTAGTGGTAGTAGTAGTTGTAGTAGTAGTAGCAGCAGTAGTAGTAGCAGTAGTAGTAGTAGCAGTAGTAGTAGCAGCAGCAGCAGTAGTAGTGGTAGCGGTAGTAGAAGTAGTAGTAGTAGTAGTAGTAGTAGTAGTAGTAGTAGTAGTAGTAGTAGTAGTAGTGGTAGGAGTAGCAGCAGCAGCAGTAGTAGTAGCAGTACTAGTAGTAGCAGTACTAGTAGTAGCAGTACTAGTAGCAGTAGGCAGTAGGAGCGGCGGCGGTGTCCACCTCTGTAGGTATTGAAACGGTTATTGAACGCGCATTGAGAGAACCCATGGGTGAGCTCTGCCGCCCGGCTCACGCAAGACTCTGAACTCCCGTGTGGATCGCTCGCAATGTCTTCTCAACATTGCCTTTGACATCCGTACTACTGAAGTTCTCACATCGCCGGCGGCGCGGTCGGCGGGGTGCAGTTTTTAAGGGCTGCTCGGGAGTGGGAAGCTCCGTGACCGATATCCTGAAATATCTGATGATCAAGGGGTAGTGAACGATAGGTAGCCCAATACATCAGGGCTTTCACTCACACACACAGATTCATCGATGTCGTCAATGCCCTCGACACATTGCCAGCTCAGCCCGCCTCCCCGTCAAAGGCGCCGTCACGGCCAGGACCAGCCCATGCAGCACCCAGCTCGAGAACCGTCTGTCGGCTGGCGTCGCCTGAGAAAGGTGTTCCTATTTATTTGATTTGCTGAAGGGCAAACTTCTGGCTTACAGGTTCCCCGTTCTAGGAACCTCATGTGGGAAGTATGTCATGCAGAACCCCTTGCAAACCATAGTGGCCTGGCAAGGGCAATCAAAGGAAAACCGCCCTTTTTGGTGAACCTCCCGATTTTGACACAGACTCACTTGGGTATGTCTCAAATTAGGCGGTTTACCTTCAACAGCCTCAAACATGGTGCCCCCAGGAAAACAAACCAAAGGAACGTTTCACAGGCTGCACAAAAATTGAGATATCCCGTCTGATTTGTTTGCTTGTCGGCTTCCATTTCAGCTTTGCCCTTCCGATACGTTTGAAGCCCCCAACTCCAGAATCAGAATCGGGGAACTCTAAATTACTAAAGAAGCTCTGGGTGCCACCTGTAAAGCGACAAAAGGGCCTTTTTCGGGGGGGGGGAATCCCCACAAAAGTGACAGTTTCCCTTCAAGATCTGCCTTTCAAAACGCCAAGGGCAGCAACAAGGTGCTGTGTGTTTTGTTGAGGGTACCCTTTGTAAGTGGATTCCAAGAGAAACCACCCAGACAACCACTATTTTGGCGTACGCACACGTAAGGGGCGCAGCCATTTGGAGGCTTCGCCGAGGTGCCGGGGGCCGCCTGCGAGACCAGCACCGCGGATGCGTCGAAGCCCCGCAGCAGCGACCTCGGTGAATCCCAACGAAGCTGGGGCCTGACCCAAAGTTAGGGTCCATTGGATCAGAGCCATTGCGCGGTCTGGAACATCCATCTCTGCCACTTGCTGAAGTGGTGGCTTCCCAAGGGATGACAGGGCTTTCAGATGTTATGTTCCATCTTACAGCTGACTAAGTATTGAAACGGGAACAAATAATCTGAAAATATGATTGGCGTGCCGTGGGGTTGGGCCAAGATGAGGGACCAAACTGTGTAGGAGGCTGAGGCTAAGCTGTTGGTGCGAGTGGCACCTCCAGAGTTACAGTGTTCAAGGCCTTAGCCCGTAGCCTATTTGAGTGCGCCCTGTGTTGCTTCGATTGCTGATCAAGTTTACGAACTTGAGTTGCTTTTGTGGATTGTTTGGTTGTTGCTTGGCTGTTGCCTGGTTGTCGCTTGGTTGGCCGCTTGATTGCTGCTGGTTGGTCGTTTATGTTGTCGCCTTGTTGGTCGCTCGCTGATTGTCGCTTGGTTGCTGCTGGTGGGTGGCTAATGTTGTGGCTTGGTAGATGCTTGGTTGTCGCTTGGTTGGTTGCCGGTTGCCGCTTGGTCGGTCACTCTATTGACCACTTGGTTCTCGCTTGGTTCGCCACTTGGTTGGTTGCTCGGTTGCTTTGCTTGCCTGCCGCTTGCTTGGTCCTTTAGTTGTTGCTTGGTGTGCATTGGTTTCTCTTCAAACCTTCAGTTGGTTTACATTGGTGCTTGGTCCTTCACACCTTCAGTTGGTGCTCTGCTGGGCTGCCCCACTGCAGGGTCTGCCGCAGCCGCTGCGCTTGCCGCCCTGTGGCGATAACCAGCACGGCAATGTCCCCAGATCCCAGACCTGGCAACTCCGCGACAGGCTTCGTTGCCCACAGCCACATGGGTGTGTCTTATTTTAGGAGAACCCCAAAATTGTGTTTTTTCCTTGGGTTTTCTTTTATGACTACAAAATGGTACCCTCAAAAAAGGACACGCCCACGTAAAGTAATTAATGATTGTGAGGGACAATGTGTCGCGTTTTCTTTTCTTTTAAAAAAATGGTTTATCAAGAATTGCAATGGTATCATCCGTCTGTAAGCAATTCAAGTGAGTCGGCCACAAAGTGTATGAGGCCGTGCATGGCGCAGTATTGTAAAGTGGCTGGAACTGCTAAGCAAACCGAAGCCGCTCTCATTGGCTCGTTGAGAATATGGAAAGCTAACAGCCAAAAGACCGACCTCTTGACTGAGTCGATAGGACCACTGTGCGCCACAACAAGCTGCAAGTATCGGTTCATTGGGTGGGCAATCAACGTGAAGGAACAGCCAGGCGTCTGACACTCTCGGTCCTCTGAACTGACATGCTCAAACAATTCCCTCTAAATAGTTGTTTAAAGGGACACCACCCCCAAGTATTTTGAGAATCGCTTGGGACCCAGCAGTCCGACCACGTCCGCGCCTTGTGCCTCGCCCTCGCCCTCAAACTCCGGCGCCGGCTTCGTGGCTTTGGACGACGCCTTAGGCGCCTCCGGCGACTCCGGCGCTTCGGGCGGAAAGAAGCGCAGAGGCGCCGGAACGGCCTGGCGCAGGATACGACCCCCTCCAAACGGTTGGACCCCTCTTCGTTCGTCAGCAAAGTCGGCCAACAAGGGCGTTCCTCATTTTGACACCTTCGCGTAAGGCCACATGGCCAACTGGGCAATCATCATCCCTATTCCATCCCAAAGCATAGCGTGGCCTAGCCAATGGTGATGGCATCAGGCAGAATTTGTCGAAAACCCAAATAATGTCGCCTCCAACAATCCCCCACTTGGCTTCTCTTCCATGCCCATAGTCTGGGCCCGGAGTTACAGCGCTGTCGGGACCCTCAGTGGATCCGCAACATGGCATCAATCCGGTGCTATTCTGCGTGTTTTCGGGCAACAAACGACCCCACGCCCCAACTCAAAATAAGATATCCCCAAAACGAGGATGTTCTTCATATTTCAGACTTGAGGTCGCGCTACCCCAGAGTGATGTCCCTAGATTTAGCCCGCTGACGCATTTCCAGGTGGCGCCTGCACCCGCAGAGATGACTGATCAGGAGCTTTGGCCATTTGCCAAAATCATGGGGAAACACAGTATCAGGTAGTGGTTCAGCTTTCCAAGTGTTCTACTATCCAAACAAGTCTGCCTGGCAAGCCCGGTCTCAAACAAATCTGAATGCTTGTCCAACCCGGTCTCAAACCAGATCCGACCAAAAACGGCGCACCTGGTACCAAAGGAGGGCTACACGAGCCAACCCAAATGATTGGAGTTGCAAATATCCGCACCTGCAAGGGGACTGTCTGCGCACCTTCATCTTCACCATCTCAGCTATTCTCAGCTATTCTCAGCCTTTGCCCCCCAACCAAACTAATCTGTTTGACCCTGGCCCATGATCAATAAACCTCGAGATCTAAAATGTTAAAGAAGATCCCGAATCGATGTTTCTTTTAAACAAATCTTGGCCGAAGTGTTCTAGCTCCAAGCCCGCCATCCCTCAATTGCAGATTGGGGAAGTCTCCTGGAAGTCGGGAGAGTTGCGGCGCCACGAGAAAGCCACGACCGCCTGGCGTCTATTCATCTTGCCACAGGCTGACCCGAATCGGGTGAAGAGGAAACGCCCCAATTTTAGGATTTGACTGGCGAGCTCCGATTCTGTTACTGGTGGAAAATGCTGGCTCGGAGGAAACGGCCAATGGCAATATCCCTCGCAGAGACCCAGCCCATCACAGGCTCACGCGTCTTGACCATGTGTGAAGAACATGTTGCACGTGATGTTCCATGAACATGTGCATGAGCCTTCCCAGCTCGCGAAGGGAGGGAATCGTTCTCATGCTTTTGGTATTTCATGTCAATGTAGCTACAGGGAAACCGATGAACATTCGGACCGTAAAAGTGTAACCTGCGCAACTCTAGTCAGGCGATGTTCCTGAAGGTCACGCGAACCATGTCAACGATGAATGCTTGCTTGGCCTGTACCTTGTATTCTACAACTCTAGTGACTTTGTGCCCGCCCCCATGAAGAAAAGGCATCTAGGGATGGCGGACCCAGGGAACCCGTCCGGTGCCCTCGGAGCAGTTTCCAAGCCACAGCTCACACGCGCGCCTGCACTGCTGCGAAGCAAAGCAGCGCGGCGATCCAGCGCCAGCGCCTGACCAGCGGCCAGTTTCGCCCGGGGGAAGCCTCGAAACTGAGTGTCCTGGTGAGCTTCCCATTTTCTTGCCTTGATTCGGGCGCTCTCCAAAACCCTGCCCACACTCCAAAAAGGCAATTCCCATGAAGGAGCTCCTTTCATTGGTGGGTTGGGGTGTTAGGTTTCAGGGTGCCTGTCGTGACAGGTGTGATATGTGTTTGGAACATGCGCCGATTTCCTGGCACATGGAAAGCAAACTGTATGGTCTTCTGAAGAGTTCCCTCATGTCAGGCTGCACGTTAGTGAGTGGAAAGGTAACAACATTTTGCACGCATTGTTCAAAGAGCCAAATAGCATCAGAGGGAGCAAAGCAGCCAATGCTTGGTATGCATCTGTGCGCGTGGGGTAGGCGGATCTGGTTGCGGCATGTCCCAAACAACTTTTGTGGCAAATGCATCTAGCACCCTCACATTGTGGGCCATGTGGGCTCCAATAACCCCCTATTCAGATTCTTCCCCCTTGGCCAATGTGTTCCGGCGAGAACACACGGCTCCCATTCATATCAGTTCCATCGAGGGTTCAAACAACTGGTTTTTGGTTGAGCTCCCCAAATTGTGGAAGCCAAATGGAAAGAACTGAATCCCCAGAAACCCAAGCCGCCAACGCCAAAATGTTCAAGATCCAAAAACACCTGGGAAATTGTTCAAACCGATCCAAGGCACCCACTCCCAAACTGCACCCAACAGCCCGAAACGGAAAATCCGTTTCGGCCGCACCGCGAGGAAGGCTTCGGCTCCACCTTCTCTTTGCGCTCCTACGGAAAGGAGCTGACTGTCGTTCTAACCCTTTTCGGGGTATAGAGTATAATATATTTTTATATATGTGTGTGTCTGATACGAGAACCAAAAGCAAAAGGAAAACTATCATTTTGTGGGTCCATGCAGTAGTGACTCAGTACTTCATAAGTCTGCAATGGGGAAGGGGGAGTGGGGTTCCTACATCAGTGGATGCACATGGTTAAACCGCATGTCCATGTAGACCAATCAGAACATGCATAACAGATCTTGCACATTTGAGAGACTCAACTGGAGGACCATCGTAGGGACTGACTGGAGTGGATCCTCCGACGGGAGTATAAAGGATAGCCAAAGAGGCAACAAAAACGAGGGTGAACTAAGTCTGGCAATGTCCCCTACTAGGCTGGATGAAAGGGGGGGGGTAGCACTGCTCATCAAGGGGCTTCTTTGCGTTACCTCGTTTCTCTGGTGAGATACTTGCACGGTCGCTGCATTCCAAGATCTAGATAGACCTGCAGCATGCCAAAATTCATCAAATGAAGAAGGCCCACCCGCAAAGCAGGCGACAATCCGGTACATCTTTTGCCATCTTTTCTCCGTCACCTACCTGCTTTTGACAAGGATGCTGCCAGCCATCTTTCGCATTGGCACGTCAATCCGCTTCACACTGCGTTCTCGATCTTTGAGATCCAATATCAATTTCGCGTGCACACAAAATTTCGAGTGAGCATAACATCTCTGTCAGCAAAACTTTCAGCAAAGCCATACAATGTCATCCAGCTTGAAGAGGATTGAGTAAGGACCGCAGTTTGGATGATTTTAATAGATAGTGGCAATCTATTTGGGCTAGAGGCCAACCTTCGAGTGCCAACTTGAAGACCTGTTTTCATCCAGCCTCTTGCTCAACACATATCGCCATGTCCAGCATCCAGTTGCCCGTTGGACTGCTTTCGCCACTGGAAAGCATCTTTTATGTGTTGACTCTCTTCAGACCTGTGCGAATCCACCTGATTGACGGCTGAATTTGTATTGAGTACCCTAAAGGGGATTGAGATTCACTATCTGAGCCTTGTCCCCCCTCCCCATCACCCAACATAGCCAGCAGGCTCCAGGAAATCTATTTGGGCGCCATGTGGTCCAAGCTCTGTTCGGCTCTGGATCGGTGATAGATAAAACTGGAGGCCCCACGAAACGTGTGGGGGAAAGCAAACGAAGGACTGAGAGAACCCCTTCTTTTTCAGCCGTCCCCGAGTTGGTGACTTTGATTGGTGGTTGGGAGGTGCTCCGCGGCAGCTTCTCAATTGCCCTCTGGAACCGCACCACAGGGGGTCTACCCCGATTGTTGGAGTTGCTTTGGTCATCCTACATATTCAATAGTCGACCGGTTCCCCTCCTTGTCAAAAACCCTGAAAGTCTGATACCCGGTCACCGCAAACATCTATTGGTCTATGAGGGTGTCCACTAAAACCACTAATCCAAAACAAACTGCGGTTTGCGACCAGTGGCTAAGAGCCCTTGTCTTGGAGGGTGTCCACTGTTCAGCACCTCAAGGAGGCAACAGCCTCATATTCTTCTATTGCCCAGTTGCAGGAGAAAAGATTGGCCCCCTTTTTGGATCGGTTATTTTGAAGGGAAATCCGAGAGACAGCTGAAGGGCTGCAATAAACATCAACTGAGTTGCCCTTTTCTAGTTTTGGTTCATATTTAGTGAACCCTAAAATGCAACTCATGTCAACAGGCTTCCCTATATTTCCTCTTTCAATATCTGCCGGCCACAAGGAAACTTGTTCTAATTTTGCCCAAAAGGTGATATTAAAACTTATTTGCACCAGCCAAAAGGGGACAAATAACCCTGTTCAAAAAAATCCCTTTTGTTTGGAGAGGGTGGGGCGGTATCCTCACCCGGCCTCCGGCCGCTTCTTTGGCTTCGGCTCCTTCTGCCGCCTCGGCATGCCTCAAGGCACCCCGCGTGAGAACTCTGCGGGCTCCAACAAACATGACCAACAACGGAGAGAACGCTACGTAAATGGAAGATCATACAAGTGCACGTATATATTTGTATACATGCAAACAAATGACTGGTTTTCTTCATATAGAGTCCTTATAAATATATATTAGAAGCATCTCTCAACTTGGAGACATGGAAGGCGAAGCTTGGTGGACCCTTGCGAAACCCATGTGCCTGCGTCAAAGCAGAGGCCTTTCTTGGGACAGGTGCAAAGGGAGCAACAAGTTGGGGAACAGCAAGTCGCAGCAAGTGGGCTCTTTATCGCGCATGTCTGTGACTCTTTGTCGGCCTTCGCAACACGTCACTTGCGTGGGAACGTCGTCACCCGAAGCTACTGTACCAGCTAAAGCAAGAAGAACCTCCGAAGGATTTGTGCCCCCAGCTTCATGGCATGTGAGTTCAACTTCCCTTGGGCAAGCTTTCAGAGGCTCGCTTGCCTTTTCTGGACCGAGGGGAGACCTCCTCACCCCTCGCTGCTCGAACAGAACTGGCTCCTAAGGCTCACCCTCTGCATATCATGCTTGCATCGCTTCAAGCCATTGGGATGATGCTATCCAACCACTTATCCCCAAAAACAGAACAGAGGCTTGTTCTCGCCAGCTCCAAGCCCGACGCAGCGAGGGTGGTATTGTGAGGTCGGCTGTTCAAGCGGTTTGGCCCAAAATGAGTCTGTGCACTGGCCTGGCACGCAAGCACAGCTTGCGATGGCAACAATAAAACATTTCAGGCCCTGCAACCAGAGAGAAAACGCGGATCAGTGCTTCCGGCTTTCATTTTGCGCCTGGCCAACGTCTCCTTGGAGCCGAATTCTCGACCCATGGAGTTAAAAGCCACGTCAATGGCCAACGGCGAGGTCGCGCAGGGGAAACGCGCAAGGCTGCCACAAGCCAGAGGTACAGTGCCATAGAAACCAAATGGGTGAAAATAGGGCGCCAGCCTCCATACATTGGTTCCCTTGCAACAGACACAAGGGAGACTGCACGAAAATGTGTTTTTTTGTTGGGGGGTCGTCCCCCGTTCCAGCCAATACTTAGACGGTGGGGAAGTTCAAGGGAGCTGCAATTGCAGCATCATGCTGAGCGCTGGCTTGGCTTGTCTAATTAGTGTTCACCCCGGCCACGGCCACTGGTTATCGCGGCAATACAATAGCTGGTTGTTTGTTTCATCAGCTAGTTCCAAGCTTCTCATTGCCGAATGTGCTTAGAGCCTGTCTGTTTGAAACCAAAGGCTGCTACTCTACTCCATGTCTCCTTCCTCTCCCTGATGGCGTAGGGTCATAGGACCTCTTTAGTAACCTCTTTGTTTGACGCCTTCTTTGCTGACGGCCCCGTTGCAAACAAGTACGCTAGACATTTCAAGGTGCTACAAAAGACTAACTAGAACCTTCAATGAAATTCAAGCTGCTGCGCCAGACCTCCCAAAGTCTATCTGGAACCCTGGCCCGTGATTGTAGCCAAGTCTCATTTTTCCTCTCCCAAAAGGCCCCCTCCCAAAGCAGCCCGGGCCTCCAAGACTCTATTTAGAGCCCCCAGAACCCTGCCCGCCTGCCTGCAGCACTTTCCCCCCTGTGATTCCCTTCATTGGCATCATCCTAATGCAAACAACGCTTCTCAAGATGCAGTCTAGTGACAACCTAAACCTCCTAGTGGCCAAATAAAGGCCCCAAAACTCTAACACTTCCAAGCAAAGCTGAAAAGGCCTAAACACATCTAAAGAAAGCTTAAAAAGCTAGCAAAAGCTAGACAAAGCTTGAACAAGCAAACCATCCCCTCCCCCACCAAAAAATCTCCCAAAATCACGAGAATTATTCTAGGTCTGGCACATTCTTCTAGTAAGAGCCTTGACTTCTAACAAGAACCCTCCCGAGTTCAAGCAAGATGCCCCAAAGTTTTTCTAGCACGAACTTTCTGAAATGTAAGTAAAATATCCTGGAAACTAAACGAGCCATACCCCCTTTCAAAGAGACCCCCAAATGAAGAGGTTATGAAGAGGCTCCTAAGATAGGGAACCCTCATGGCGTAGCGAAGCATGGGTGGATTGCTTGAACACTTTCGAGGGTCAGAGGTCAGCGTTGACGATCCCCCACACCATTAAAAACAGATGCCTGAATGGAAATAGATTGCCGCTCCAATTGATTCAACTTGACAGCTTTCCATAGCTTGCCATCAAGATGTTTGCAGGCGGTTCTGTGACTGCTTGGAGAAGTATCAATCTGCATCATGCTGATTGTAGACTGTGCATCGATTTCACTGGATGTCTCTGATGAACTTGTTGTCATGCAGCTGCTCTGAAAATGCAGGCAAACAAGTTACGCGGACACGTGCTGAGCCAGCGAGCTATCGTGCTTTACCAATATCACCTTTCGGGTCAGGGTGAATCAAGTCGCTGTTGGGGCTTAATGTTTCACGGGAGTACGAGGGAGAGTGTTGACAAAAGTAATTAAGAGCTGCACCAGCAAAAGTGTTGAAGCACTGTACCAAAAGCTCGGGCCCACAGACTTTGTCGGTGAGCCAAAGCAAAACTCCCCGCACGGCCCTCTCCTTGGCTCTCAACTAGCCAAGAGACCCCATCTGGCGCAGGCTGCAAAACTTCAGCAGGGCTTCCAAGTCAGAACATTTAATTGCACTCAGCTGAGACAGGGTAGCTTTTCTGCAAGAAACAGTCCATGGTCCGGCGTTGCTTTCGCAGTTCTACGCCTTGCTTCTGGATGGCCATCTGTCGCAGCCCGGCGCGGCACGATTCTTTTCGGCCAGCTCAATGGATTCAGAGCACCGAGCCGCCTGAGATCTCACGGAAGAAGCCCCGCACCATACCAAGGCAAACAAGATGGGCTTGAAATTCCCTTGCCAATTGCGCTTCAAATAGAAATTAAGCCAATGGGAAACCCTGCATCCACAGTGAAGTAGACTAAATCTTCAAAAGGACGACCTTCCTCCAAGTTCCCACTCAAGGCAGCAAGTTGCAGGATTGTTCAAAACACGGCAAGAGAAACCAAGAAACAATAGGGCAAAACAAGAGCGAACACAGCTAAAATGAGGATCGGGTAACAAAATGGGCTGGATGGAACCAAGGAACAAAACACATGAATATGGCTGAAAGGGGGTCGGGGTATATTGGAACAGCACAACCAATAAAGCTTCAATGTTGATCAAACATATTATTTCCTCCGACGGCTAGCCTCTTGCCATTTTGCAAAAACTTCTGGGTGTGTGTTAAAAACATTAGGAGGACCCCCGTTGTTGGCTCTTTGTTCTTTTGGTTTCCCTTGAAGCCAACCCCACAAGGAACCCCCTTAAGAAACACACACTCTGATTTGGACAATTTATGAACCTCAGCAAAGGCGCCCGCATCATGAGGCGTGAGGGTGAACACTTCACACTTTGTTGGAGAGGGCGCTATGGTTTGCCCAATATTGCGTCTGCGTGTCAACAAGAGGGACCCTTGCAAGCGAGTCAAGCGAGCGAGGCCGTAGTTTTGACACATTCAAACAAGTCTATCATAGACAAGCATGAGAGCCGCACAGCGCTCGAGCAACAACAAGTGGCCTCCCCTCGCAGCGCTTGGCGGCTTGGTGGGTCAGTGAATCACATTCCGACTCCAGATCTGAACACTAGCCTGGTGGAAACCAAGCTGATGGAACACCCACCTGAAGTGGAAAGACCAATGGAGCCTAGTGTCTACGTTCAGCAAAAGCAGTACATCTGGTGTGGATTGGGTCCCAAAAAGGGGTGTGTGTCCCTCCAGAACGAGACTCTTCTAAGAATGGTGGGCTTTGGGGTTTCATGTGAATCTGCAGGAGTGCACACGCTTGCTCATCAATGTGTAATTTGTAAATGCAAATGCGCATGCCCACTACCAAAGGCATTTTGGAGAAATACTAGTGCCTGTCGACATTGCAAGAAAAGGTGACTGAACAGCTTGAGTACCTGTATGATCCAGTCTGCACTCGGCCAAGCCGCGCGACTCCGAGCTCTCCCAAACGGGCTGTACAAACAGCGGAGTGCAGCCAAGACCTGCAATTTTATCCCTGACCACGATTTACAAGCGAAAGGTGTGACAGCGAAAACATGCAGACTTGAGGAAGCTGAGATAGAATCTGGCAACCCCAAAGTCGATTGAAGGTGAATTGTGTTTCTCCTACTTGAAGGCACTCCCAACAATCTGAACTTGTACTGTCATCGAGTTATCTGGCAGCAAGCTGTGGTGGATTGTACAGAAAATCACCTATCCTTGCGGCATGAATTCTGGGGTGAGACAAACACCAAGGGCCAGAGTATCGGCCTACGGCGCTGAGAACTCCGTGGAAGCTTGACGGAAGATCTCAGGGGAGTTGTTCCTGCACAAAGAGTAATCAATCTTGGAAGTTGTTATCCTGCACCCGGAGATGTTTGTAGCTTCACCCCTTCAGCTTGTTGCTTGATAGGCACAATTCAATCCTTTGCTAGTCATCAAGTGGCATTCACTTGGGCATTCTGAGCTACCGATCCACAGCCCACAGTCAAACCAATGGAGCACGGGAACAACAGCAGCGAAACATTTTACACTGTACACACACACACAGAAACACAGACACACAGACACACTCGCACACGCACACGCACACCCATGTGCGACTGTGCATGTCACACACCCTTGCATTGTGCAGTTACATGAGTTGCTGGATCCTGCAGTTCAGCTTGCTGTTTGGGGCTTGGTTGACAGGCAGTGTTGGCACTGCTTTGTCCCACCCTCCCACGCAGATATTGTGAACGGCATGCTTTCTGATTCAGCCCATGTGCTGGGGAGTTGTTTGAGCTCTGCAGCTTGCTGGCCCACTGGGGGTTCAGCTGGCTGCATCCCATTTGTGTGGCTTTGCCCATTGCAGTGAAAAGGAGTGCTCCAGAATGCCTTGCACCACCATGAAAGGGTTGCGCACGCACACGCACACGCACACGCACCCACTCACACACGCGCGCGCACACACACACACACACACGCACACACACGCACACACGCACTTCACGCCTACGTGCCGGCCGCTAAGTGGAACATTTTGCTGCGTAATGTCAAGTTGGCAGCTGAAAATCTTTCGGAACGACTGAATCTGTACATGAGCTGACAGAGCACATGCAGCAAACACGCCGCTTGGCGGCATCTTGTTCATCCACTGGTGCATCTATACATTGGTTGGAGGCGACAAAAAGGGAACGTTGCCATGCGCCGACACGGCGCATAGCAAAGCTTCAGGCTCAGACTCGCTCGATGCTCACTGTCCAAATGGCACCGCTGACCCGAAACGAAGCATCTGTACTCGCCGCTCTGGCCGAAAAAGGCACCTCGGGTAGGACAGAAGTCCAGAACAAGGAGCGTTGAAGCTTGCCTGGCGCCAAGCTATGCAGGGGCACTTCTCTGTAAACATGCAAGGATGATTCAGCATGCCGTCCTTTAAGAATTTAATTTAATTAGCATTTCATTCCCGGTAAAACCCCGCTCAGCCACAAGCCCCCTCAAACATTGCAGCCCGCCATCCAGATTTCATTTAGGGGACACTCCCCGCTTGCGCAGTCTTGCCGCCCCCTGGGATTGCACAATATGTCAAGCGGGGCGTATTGAGCAAACGTGCTAAATGGGCAAGACTCATGAAGTGTCTCCCCTTGCAAAGCAGAACAAAAGCCAACGCTTCTTCGATGTAGGAGCATGTGGAGCAAACAATACAAGAGACTCAGGAACCGTTTTCGTAGCAATCACAAAACATGCACATGCTTCTTTGATGAATGAGCAAGTGATGCACGAAGGGCACGACTCATGAACTGTCTCCGGAGCAATCAGTGCCAAACAAATCACCCAACAAATGCTTCTTTGCAATCAGCGGTGTCTTCTGGTAAATGCGGTGGGATCTTTGGTCCGCTCGCCAGGTTTGTCAATTCCATGTTGTCAGCTTCCGGAAGTTGCTTCAGACATGCAGCATGAGCCCCTTTTGCTGCGAGCTTGGTGCCTGGTGGGCGGGTTAACACCACCTGCTTTGGCACCCTTTGAGAGGATGCCAAAATCCTTGATACGAAAACACATCCAGACCTTGCACGACACAGATCTCGCACAGAGCTGTGCCTCTCACAAATATCAAATATCCTTGCCAAGCCTCATCAGGGCAGGCATTCACATCCTTCACTTGGCATTGGGCTGGCGCTGCAACTCCTCGATTTGCTTCTTCAGGTCTGCGATCTCGCGATTTTGATCATCCAGCTTGCGCTCGTCCTGTGCAGCCATATCATGAAAGCACATTCAACCAATATGTGCATGAAGCAGTTGGAAGTGACCAAATGCAGCGCTCACACCACTCCCCCCCTTGCCCCATGGCCCAATCTCACCCCGAAGCTCGCCCATATCCTGGATCTGTTGGTTTTGCAGCATCTGGTCGTTGGCGGAGGGGCCCAGTGCGGGCCCCGGAAGTGGCAGCGGCAGCGGCACGCCGTAGCCAAAACCACCGAAGCCGAAGCCGGGGCCGAAACCTCCGTAGCGGCCCAAGGGCATGACCTGGCACCGCTCACATGGCGTTCCTCGGGGAAAAGGGCGTCTTTCAGCTTGGTGACAACTTTGTCTACGGCCGTATGTGATCCGCATGTGCTGCCTTTACCACTGCCCACTTCTGCCTCAGGACTTCTTTCAGGGAAACCAGTCAAAACAGCTTTTCGCAGGTCGCTCGAGTGCTCGAACTTGCTTGCAGGCGCGCATGCCATTGACACCACATGGAAAGCCAAGCGGCCGGAGGGCCAATTCCAATGGACACGTTCGGCCCGCCGAAGTGCGGCTCACTCCTAGCACTGGCTCCAAGCAACGATTCAGACTGAAAGGTTTGCTTCTTCATGCGTCATGAGCAGGGTCGCTTGAGCCTTTCAATATGGGGTTGAGAAAGATGCAAACTGCCTTGAACAATGTTGATGTGCTCTTGTGCCTGGCTCTGAGTACAGGGACCAAAGCAACACTCCCTGGTACTTTAAAACAGGACATGGCCATATATCATGTGACGTTATACATATATATAAGAAAACATGCCACAGCTGGAAACCAAAAAACAACTTACAATTCTCGGCCACGAGGGAATCCATCATTGAAAATTCCAATGTTGCCGGGGGGTTCCTTCTAAACTTCCTTCTAACTAGAACTAGATGTTCAAAACTGCCAAAAGGAGACATTTAGGGCTCCCTGCAGACAACCACTCGCAGCCTCGCATCTCTCCTCGGCACCGCTCGGGGCCTCGGCGCCGCCCGAAACGCCGAGCGTGGCGCGGAGGAGCGCCCGCCCATGCGCCCGCCGCTGCGGGCGGCCTCCGCGCTGAGAGGGACCAAGGCCACCAGGAGCGCCAACCTCGGCAGCTTGGGGGGAATAAGGATCCCTAGGATGTAACTCAGATCTTTCTTTTTTTCCGGGCGAAACATGTAAGATGGTGCCAAACGCTGACCCCGCAACAAGGACGCAGCGGCGACCCGCAGCATGTGCGGCACCCGGCCGTTGTCCTGGCTTGCAGGACAGACAAAGGACCCCACATGCTTGACGCTAATGTCACAATTGCACGTCTGCACCATGAGCATGCAATGCATAGGTTGCCACTGCTGGCGACGGCACTCAACAATCAAGGCACGGCACACGACGGCCCATGGCAAGACACATCAAAACGTGCAACCCCATGTAACACCAAACTTCAAGTGCCGAGTCCTCGCTCGAAGCATCGCCATGCGCCGGAGCAGGCCCCGGAGTCGTCGCTTTGGTCCGCGCCGGCGCTTCCGGCCGCGGAGTCGGCGAGGTCGAGTTCGGGGTCAGGAATACCGGGGCCAGGCCGAGGGCCAACACGCACAGCAAGCGCAACATGAGGGCGAGTTGAGCGTTTGGTGAGTGGAGCCGCTTTGAGCCAAAGGCTTCCAAGGCTCTGAGAATCAAAGGTTCTATGCATGCTTGGAGGCGAAGCGCAAGCCCACACCGGCGGAACGCGACATGCTGGTCAAGTGGCATTGCCAACAGCCGGTTGCCATGGACTGCCTTGTGCAAACTCCAATCTTGCCTGTGGCGCCTGCTGCACATCAAACAAAAACACATGCTATGCCGGCGAACTGAGCCTTGGTTCGGGCGGCGCCACTTGTCAAAAGGTCGCAGCCGCCAGGGATTGCCTCTGACACCCGTCTTGGGAAAATGAATGAACAAGTCTCTTGAGAAGAGCTGCTTTCTTTTCCGCAAACAGGGTCAAAAGGCAAGGCCGGGCAGGTCAAGAACCAATGGCAGGAAGGCAAGTCGGCAGCGATTGCAGCGGCAGCGAAATGCAGGTCTCAACTGCTCAGGCTCCGTTTCTTCCTCCCCCCCTGCTTCTTCCCACTCCCACCGCATCCCAGTCCCAACTCTATTGCCGGCTGGTTGCACTGACTGACTGGCCAACCGACTGACTGGCTGAACCGAGCTGAGCTGAGATCGAAAAAGAAAGATCAGGCTCTACGCTGCCTGCCCAGAGTTGTGAGATGCCTGAAAGCATGCGCCAAGAATTGTGCATGTGTGTGTTGCTGCGTGTTTTTCTTTGTGGTCATTTGTTTGCTTTTGTGGGTGGTTGGGTTGGTGGATGTGGTGTGGTGTGGTGTGGGGTGGGGTTGGGCGGGGTGGGGTGAGTTCCTGCACGCGTGCCAGCAGTTCGTGGCTGGCTCGGTTGGTGGCTGGTTTGGTGGGTGCTTGTGCCAAGTCACGACAGCACCAGAAAATAGTGACAAAATCCGGCTCTAGCATCCCAGAAGGAGCCAACAAATCTCACAGTTGGACAGCCACGGCAGGAACCCGAAACACCTGCTGATCAAGTTGTTCAAGGGTTCTACCCATTGATTTAGGAATTTCAACCGTTGCGATAGCAAGCTCCAAAACATGTACCCGCTATATGCATGTTGTCCCAAACGGGTTTTGGGTTTGACAGCGAATATCGCGAACTTAGGTTGGAGCAAAACCTTGCGTCCGGTGCAAAACTAGCCCTGCGAACCAGGCCTAGTCCCGCGCCAGGCAATAAACGGCGACACCTAGGCTCGAGATGCTGACGAAGGAAATCCCAGATTGACTCTTTCAGCCTGGACAAATGCGCGCATCATATAATGTGTCCGCATGTCAAAAACCAATGACCCCATCCACATGTTTGTTTTCATGCTGGTTTGCTTTCAAGATGGGCCACAAGGAATCGCTTCCTCAATTCGCCACACATATGTGAACCTTTCTGAACCCAAGCCTGCTTGCTGAATGCTTTCTCCCGCAAATCGGCAGGTGTGTAGCTGATGTCCCCTAGATCTTCCGGTAGCTGATCAACCTGCGTCCTCCGGATGGAGGCAAGCAAAGACCCAGCGCTTTTGGGAGGTTCCACGGAAACATGTTGTGCCAAAAACCTCCGTTGGGGCAACATGCCAAGCTTTTTCATTGCCATATCCTACATTTTCGGGGAGCCTTGGTCACAGAAGCCACGTCGTTTTTTGGGAGTGGGGGGGGGGGGTTCATTGGCCGTGAATGCTACAGTAGCTCCAACTATTTGAAGGTGAATGCACTGATAATGAAGCTGTTGCCACTTGGAGGCCCCCGTAAACATGAGCCACGTTACATAGACATCCTCTGGTGCCTGCGGCTTGTGCATTCGGCAATTTCAACAGAGTTCCTTATACGGCCCCCTTTCAGTATGACCCCACCAAATTTCAAAAGCATTCCCAAAAATGAAACACGTCCGTCAATACGTGTACATACTATACACATAGATCACCCACAAAGGGAAATGCAAAGACTCCCGGCCCCTACCCAGGCATTCGCATGCCACCCTTCACCCTTCACCCCTCAGAACTTCGTGGGCGAAGCTGCCGGTGCAAAGCGCCCAGTGGGACGCGTAGACGTAGTTCAGCGCCAATTTGCTCAGCGGGGGCGTGATGCCATACAGCTGATTGGTGGCCTCCAAAAGGGGTCTGAAGGGTCTGGAGCCCTGGCCTGGAGGTTGAAATAGGTTGAGTGGATTTGCAAATGTTGAGCGAGATTGTGATCAGGCAACTTGCTATCAAGGCGGCAACTCCCAGACTCTGACTACGCCATCTGCCTTGAGATATGAGCAAAGGTGAACTTGTGAATGGATTCATTGCGCTGTATGATGTCAACATGAAACCTCCTGACACGAACCTGTTCATGGTCGTTCCCACCTTGGTTCTGTAGGAACACGCCATACAAGGCCCTCAGGAAACTTCCAAGCAAACCTACAATGGCAGCAAGCATGTCGTTCTGACTCGTACAACATGGCAAGGACCACCGCCAGGCCATTGCATTCCGCCACTTAGCATCGACAATTAGCACAAGTTTATGTCGTCTTACTCGGATCAGTCATTCCAAACAGAGAAGTGCAAGCCTCAACAAGTGACTCTTCCCTGCAAAACGGTATCAAAGTGTTCAAGGTTTAAGAGAAGGCAGCTCAAAGAGGCAGCTCGGACTCCTGAAACCCCTGATGGACCGCGCACTGCTGCAAGCCAGCCTTTTATTCCAGCGCCCTTGTGCTGGCAAAAATACATACGGAAATGTGGCGTCAGGAGGCAGCCCAGTGTGAGTGTTCGTCTTTGCCTTGTCTTTGTGTGGCCTTCATACAATATGAATATTAATATTCAAGCAACATTTATCTCTATCCAAGCCTTGTGTCATTCAAAGAACACACACGTGGGCATATCACCATCAGCCACAATCCACGGCAACAAAGCACCGTTGGTGTTTGGCCGTGGTGAAAAGCTGGCTCCAAACAGCTTCAAGGCTGTTGAATCCAGCTGTGGCAGGCACAGGAAAAGCGTAAAGCATTTGAGGACTGAAGCAGAATTGCATTAAGGGATCTAACATCATTCGGGATGCTCATCCATTTTTGTTTTGAGCCGGTTGGTCAAGGAAGTCATTGATCCTTTGCTTTCAGCTCGAGTCCTCAAGTGCCTCATGCTCCAGTCCCCAGCAGGCTGCAGCCGTCCTGGAGCATGCGGAACGGGGAAAGGAGCAACACCAGGGCTTAGGGCTTGGTATGTGAGCTACGGTCAAAAATTACAGTTGCCCTACACAACATGGGTGCATTCGAGATCACCCTGGTTTCTGCAGGAATTTTTGAGAGTTCCCTATGTCGCTCTCCCAAACGGATAGCCGGCTAGCAGACTGCTGGATTTGACTGAAGTTTGGATATAAATGGTTGGCATCATTCAGCGTTCAAGAAAGTCCTGAATTGCCTGTTTTGCCAACAGCCCAACACACAAAAAGTCACTCTCTCAACAAACAACAAATAATGATGAACAATCAGCACAGTCCCTTTCGGATTCGGGGCTTGGACACGGCCAAGACATGCTGCAAACTCTGACCGTGCAAACGTGGTTCCCGCAGCCACAAGCTCACCAGGATTGGACTGTACAGCGTGTTTCCCTGCACAGTCATGCCCGATCAACTCCAGCATTGCGGCTAATTACGGTCCCAGCCAGAACCACATCTTGGGATCTTCCTCCTTGCCACCTAAGATCCTTTACAAAGGCCCGAGTGCACGGACTGTTTTCAACATCATTCTGGGCTACTATGCCTGTTGCTTTGCCCCTTAACAAAGTGCATCCAGTCTCAAGGATCGAAAGCAATGCTATACTGTCTTTTCAAGACCAGAGTGCTGTACCTGAAGTGAAGGTTCGTCTGGTACCCTGTTGCGCTTCCTCAATGAAAAGTGTGCCACCGCTGCCACTGTAAGATCGCAAATGCTTGTCTGATGATCATTCCATAATCCACTGCCAATATCACAGACAAGTCTCGCCTTCACCGTGTGGCGTGCTTTATCCAATGGCCGACAAAACTTGTCAAGCGAACTTAGTGCCTTTGTATAGAAGTGCCACTATGTGGACTAGGGCTCGCATATGCGCAGCAAAACCAAACGGCAACCGATGCTCATTTCCCAACTGATCAATCGTAAAGTGTGAAAGGGAGGCGGGCATAGGAAAGGGGAGTAAATGTTTACTAAACAGGCAATTCATGTTGCGTGGCTTTAAAGAGAAGCAAGGCCGCCATGAGTTCGGTTGAGCCAAAGAAAGTCTTCCATTCCTAATTCTCGTATTCCTGTTGCCGTTCACCAGAACCTGTCTTCCAGTCTCCAGCCTGCCAACCCTTGGGCCGAGGTGCGCGACAAGAGGGAGGCGGCCTCCACGGTCAAGAGTCTAAAGCTGAGGGACAGAGTAGGTCGTGGGGAGCCATTGCGTGCTCTCCTGCGGTAAAAGCGATTGCCTCCTCCAGCATCTGTGAGCCAGTTGTCCCGATCAAAAAGTTTCTTACTGGGAATCGGGTTTACCCCCACAGACACAAAGACACGCGCATGCACGCAAACACACAAACACTCAAGCAAACACACAGACATTAAACCACGCAAACTCACGGACAAAAACTCACATTTGTGCACATATATATATATATATATATATTCACATTATACAACAATGTGAGACAATCTCATCGAGTCCCGTTTTGGAAACCATCGAGCACGTGTAAAAAGTTGAGATCCCTGATTAATTGCATGCCCCCCAGGATAGCAGTGCATGTCATCCAGCTTTAAGGGTCATTCCCCTGATGTTTGGGAAGCATGCCCATCTGGCTGTTTGGGTTTATCGGGAACACCCTGAAAATTGATTAGAGTCCCTGAGGACTGCCGAGCTCAAATTATGTTTTTAGGCCTTCGCTAAAAGATACCCCCAGCGAAGTTGCGCACTTGCCAACTAAACACATCTGACTAAAACTAATATGACGCATGCCCATTCCGAAGAAACCTTTTGGACCAGCTGCCCAGCTGCCCCCCAAGGGTCCATAATATACCCTTTGCGGATGGCTATTTTGCGTTAAAATGGTCCAAAGAACTCCTTAGAGAACGTTTCTCAAAACAAGAGGCTGCGTTATTGTTATGCTTGGCTTCCTTTTGGTTTCCATTTATACATGAAATATGCTTATATGTATACATAAATGTAGTGTATATTTACCCACCAAAACAGAAACTCAGGGACGTCCTTGAGACTGGCGAACTCCGCCCCGCCATCGCAGACGTTAGCGCCGTAGCAGATCAGCTGCGTGGCCTCCTTCCCGAAGTCCCCGAAGAGGAGGTCCTGGCCAGGCGTAGGCACAGGCACCCGTTTGCTTTGGGAACCACAATGTAAGTTGGCACCCTTTTAGGTTACCGTGTTGTTTAGGGAACCACAAGGAAAACCTGTTTGTCTTGCCGGTTCATAGAAACTGAGGCAATGACCCCTTGTGGTTCCGTTTAAGGGCATCCCTAAATTCCCTACTGAGAGAACAAGCGAGCTTTCTGCGCGGAAGGGACAGTTTGGAGACAAACCAACCTTTAATGAGCCACAGTAGAATAGATCATTTTCCCGACTGGTTTGTGAATTCTTCCAGCAAGCCCCGTGTCCTAGTGTGTGTTAGTGAACCAGGCCAAAACTCCTGGCTCATGGTCTTGGTGCCCCCAATTAGAGCTCTTGAATTTGTTGTTTAGGTTCCCTATTGAGGGGTTCACCTGGTGTTTCCACAATGGCTCACATGTGCAGCCTGCGAAACAGAGGGCCCTTCTGAGGGGAAGGATTGTTTCCGCGTGAGGTAAACGCTGCTTCGTTCTGCAGCACCCTCAAACCTATGATCCCGTTTTCTTTTTTGGGTTTCGTGCCTGGCGCTCGAAAACTATCTCAACTTTTGCCCCAACCATAATTTACACTTTGATTACGGTTCACATTTAGCGAATGTAAAGCAATGTTAACAGCGATTCTAGGCATGTTCGCAACTTGTCAGCACCAGCTCAGTACACGCAATGCAACGTGTCAGCTCCAGCTCGAGAATCGCAAGTTTTAAGCCAATAGTAGTTGCCACACGTGAGTCAAACAGGTGGCAGCTGCTGCGATTGCAGATGGGGGCCGGTTGAACGTGCCCTCAAAGCCTACTACGCGAAGGCTTACGCAGGGGCTGTGCAAAGCATACGCTTTGATTGCGTCGTGCGAAAGTGTCAACGAAATCAGTGCAGACCTCGTGGAACGTACCGCGTTCCCCAATACACTCCATGCTAGTTTTGGTACATTCCTGGTATGCAGGTGATTCATGGGAAATATTGATAAGCCTTCGCGCACAATTTCCGGGAATGTGGCTTCGCATTTGGATGTTGCAGTCCCGGTGGTGACCCTGATCGAAGCCTACGAGTATGAAAAGGCGATTTGCAACTGGCGCCTCGCCCGGGTTGCTATGTCACTTACTCGGCATGATCTTCGCTTTCCAAAGATTTCATACCGTGTGTCCAGAGTGGGAGGGGGTGTTGCCCATGGTTTGGCCGTACTCAATGCTCAGGTTTCTGAAAGAAGACATCGTGAACTGATCGAAGTCAGGCAGCACTTCTCTCATGCCGCGCTGAGGGGGTGGGGGTTTATGCCCCGTTTGTTGGGGGGGAGGGGCCTGGGAGGCGAGGCCCAGGATAGCGATCATGGCCAGCCGGCCGTTGTTCAGCTCTTGGACCTCCGCCTGGCGGAACTGGTTCCAGATGTTGTCCTGGCCGTGGGCCAGGACCCATGGAGATTTAGGCGCGACCATCCGCGTGCTCATTAAGCTTCGTAGACAGTTGGGGCATGACTTCTTTGGAAAACTATGTCCACAGACTATTCTTGAAGGGTTCCCCATGAAAACTCCTAGCCATGTTGGGCATTCAGTCAGGCAAACAGACACACACACACACACACACACACACACACACACGTCAGTGAAACGAGACGGGCAACACACACACCCACCTCACCTGCAAGATCCCTGAGGATGCGACGGGCTGAGGACTACACCTTGCCGGGATTGAAGAGATTCGCCCAATACCGAAGTTTGTCGTTAGCAATTATATACTTGCGCCCTTTCAATTTGGGAAATCCAGCGTATCTGCACTGGTTCCTTGAT